ATTCTACTATAATTCTAGCTTTCTTGGGAGAATTTGTACTGCCTATTGACAAATCAATCCTGTGATCACAAGATTCTAGGTTGGGAGTTATATTTGCTCTCTTCAGGCTTCTACTTTTATTGCTAAAGTCAGCTTCTGGTCATTATCACTTTAAAGGTAGCTTTTTTTCCAGGACTGCATTGAGATATTATTTTTGTCTTGAGTTTTTTATAGCTTCACTGTAAGCATAGATGTCTTTATCCTAATTTGCATTTGGACTTCTTGAATCCACACTTTGGTGTCTGATTATCTTGCGCCGTTAGTACATCTTATTCAAATTGTTTCTGCCCCGTTTTTCTCTCATGGTGCTCAAATGAGCGAGTGTGTGTGTATTTTAGATCTTTTTTACTTTTCTTCATGCCTCATTTTAGAAAGTTTTTTCAGCTTCTATCAGGTTACTAATTTTCTCTTTAGCTATATCTAATCTTATAAACTCTTCCTTTGGGGTTTTTCATTTTTGGTCCTCTCATGTTAACCTCTAGGATGTCTTATTCTCTTTCAAATCTGTTATTTTTAAGAACTTGTCATTTTCTGTGAATTTTCAAACTTGGATTTTATCATCAATGAAGAAGTGATTATTTTACAAATGCCTACAAATAGCTGGAGTCCAGTTGGTCTTTCTCTTGTCTGTGCTGACTAGCTCATTTAGTTTACTCATGAGCCTAGATTTTCTGTGTGCTGTGTATATCTGAAAAAATGGTTTTTGGGGAAACTTGATTTCTACAGCAACAGCTTTTAGACTATTTGCTTGCTTCTACTAGAAACTTTGTGTTACCAACAATACAGGATGATTTTTAATTTAGTTTCAGAAACTGAGACTTTCTAGGCATTATGTGACATGAAACCAGACTGAAGTCCATGCAAAGATTTGTGCTCTGCTAGTTCCTTCTTCTTCCCAGGGCTAACATGGAGGTCTTGGGTTTATATCATGGCTCTACTATGGGACCCTAGAAGTTACATATCTTCACTGAGTTTTTGTTTTATTACATCTAATTGAGATAAGTATCTTCTTACATAAGGAGAAACTGTTGCCCAGGAAGGTTGTGATTCTTCCAACATCCTGTAGTTAGCAGCAGGTATGGAACAGAATGCAAGCCTCTCAAGGATGCTTCTACCTGAGCTTTCAGCTCTGCACCATGTATTTAGGGATCTATATCCCCCAGTACTTTGCTTTTCCCTGCATTCACATAAAGATTCTATAATCCCTATCATGCTTGCTATATGAAGAAGGAAGAATCTGGATTTGGTTAGAGGATTGAGACATCATAAGAGGCTGGTGTATGGCAGGAGGAAGGAAGGCTGAAGGGCAAAGTAGAACTTCAAGAGCTTGTAGGGCACCAGAAAAGGTGACATCAAAAATATCTTGGTATAGGCCACCTGCAGTGGCTTCACCTGCAATCCTAGAACTCTGGGAGGCCAACCTGGGAGGATCACTTGAGCTCAGGAGTTTGAGACTAGCCTGAACAAGAGTGAGAACCCATCTCTACTAATAATAGTAAATTTATTAAAACATAATAAAATTATCCAGGCATCGTGGTGGACACCTGTAGTCTCAGCCACTTAGGAAGCTGAGGCAGGAGGATTGTTTAAGACCAGAAGTTTGAGGTTGTGGTGTGTTATGATGATACCACTGTGTTCTACCCAGGGCAACGGAGTGAGATTCTGTCTTAAGAAAGAAAAAAAATATTCGGATATAAATGGTGCACTCATGTGCTGACATCGCAAGTGAATAGGAGGCCTTTCTCCTGAGCTTTAGTTTTATCACATCAAAAGGGGAAGTCACTTCCCCTTTCCAGATTCTGTTGCTCAAGTTATGTCTTTCAGCTCTTTTTTTTTTTTTTTTAGGATACATTAAAATT